CCTGCAATGTGAAATTTTACCTGAAACTGCCTCCTTAGAATGGGATCCTGTGTTCAGGGAAACATTCTCATTCTTGAACTTTTGTTTCACTGAGTGGCATATCCATTTCTAGTGGGTGACTGACTATATGTCATTAAATAACATAAAGGCACAATTATAACCTTGACTGTTGATGGCACCACAGGGACTTAATTGAATACTTCAGTTATTATCCATAATTGGCTCTGAGCAGTCTGAGACTGTCTTGATACTGGAGCAGGTTGGCTCACATTAGAAAGATTAGAGGAGCCAGAGTTGCTAGAGGCCTTATTTGTAGACTCGGGGAGTAAGTGGTCCAAGCCCCACCTTGGAGCCAGCAGAGGTCTTCAAGAAGAGAAATAGCATTTGGCAACAGTAGAGGAGGCTGAAGACAGAAGAAACTGGCCCCGTGAGATCTGTCCTGGGTATGGAGTTTATGTGGAAGTCACCAGGCCCTGACGTCAGGGCACTAGCAGTGAAAGTGGCTTGAAGGAGACAGATTCTGGTGGCGCTTTGGGGAGAATGTTGGGGATTACCTGGCCATGTGAGCCCAGTAGATCTGGGTTCAAATCTTGACTCTGCCACTAAATAGCTTGTCAGATCTCAATGTGTGTTTACTTTAGTTTCCTCAGCAATACAGTGAGGGTGCATGACTGCCCCCCTCCCCCGCAATCTTACCGGTTATGGTGGGGAAATTGAGCTGTTCCTAGGAGGTTCTATGGCTTTGTATGAATTAATTCTCTTAATCTGTCTGCCCTGTGAAGTGCCCGGTGAATTAGGTACTGTGATCTTCACCATTTGACAAATGAAGAGACTGAAAATGTCGAAGAGGTTGCAGAACTTGTCCAAGGTCACATTGTGTTCAGGATAATAGAGAGTGGCCTATACTGTTAGCCACTTTGCTTGAAATACCTGTGACACAGAGTAACTAATTGAGGAGGGGAAAGGAACAACCCTTTGAAGAAATGACAGCTGAGCCAGAGACCGGGTGTGTGAGAATGCATCAAGCACCTTGTGAAGAGTACAGGGGCAGAACCTAGCTCCAAAAGAGATTTATGGGTCTAAGAAGATAATGGAGAGGTCAGTGTGCCTGGAGCAGAGTGAGCGAACTAAGGAGAGAGAAGCAGGGAATAAGTGAACAGAGAGGCAGAGGGAGATAGACAAACATCTGGCGGGACCTTGGTATGGGAAAGGCTGGGATTTTACTCCGAGAGAAAGAAGCCACTGGAGAAATTTAAGAGGCATGATTTGTTAGAGAACTTCAAAGAATCACTCTGTCAGCTATGTGGAAGGGATTGTAGGCTACCTGGGTGACTTCTTCCATAGTCCATTGGAAAGGTGTTGATCACAGGCTGTTCAGTGGTGGCTTAGATAATGGAGAGAAGTGGACAGAGGTTTTGCAGTAGAGATGACCAGACCTTCTGGTCGCCTGGATATGATAAGGGAAAGAGAAGTCATACATGACATACGGGTTTTTAGGTTGAACAGTTGAGGTGATGAATAGTATTATTTACTGAAAGTGGGAAGGGTTTGGGAGGGTGGGGTGCAAGGCAGGGTGGAAAGTGAAGTTCCCTGTGAGATGTATAGAAGACATACAGATGGCAGTGTTTAGGAGGCAATTGGATATGTGAGTCTAGACAGAGCTTGGGAAGCCATCTGGGATAGAGACAGAAATGTGAGAGTCATTGGCATGTACACAAGTTTGGGAGCATGGTAGAAGGGTGACAACCCAGAGTATTGCAAATGTGAGATGCTTTACTACAACACTCAAGTTTTGTCAATGGACACAATCCTCAAAATAGACATAGCAACACCAAACAACTGAATATATTTGCTCCTGTTCAGTGTCTAATTTCAGGAAGAGGGCCTTCATTCTGCATGTGATTGTGGGGGTTCTGCATGTATCCATGTGCTTAAACCCAATTCTTCCTAATATGCAGGCCTGGGGTTTACAAAGTACATGATGGCCTAGATGTGGGTGCTGAGCCACTTGCTGATTGGAGGGGTGGGGTGATCTCAATCCTGAGGAAGATTTAGGGCTTACACACAATAAAGCCTATTCTTTTAAATTAGTACAGAGACCATGGGGTCAAGTACAATTTTAAAACTTTTTATTATTTTGAAGTATATAATGGTTTAAGTTGTATATTTAAAGTGTATTATGTAAGGTTTTTTTTAACTTAGTAGGAACTTGTTTTTATCAATTCTATTTTGTTTTCAGTAGTAAATCAAGCATTTTACCCTCCTTGCATTTGAGCAAGATCCATGTTAATTTATAGATGGGCTGATTATGAATTTATGCTTTAAAAATACTCAGAAACATACACTGTATCTCACCAAAATTATTTCATTTTCTCTGTTGCCACAACATTCCACACTCTCTTGCTGTTGCTAAGGCCTCTGGAATGTCCCAGTGCAGAAAAAGTATATAGAACTATTTTTTTTCTTCCTGAAGACATCTTATTTTAATCATTTTATATCTTCTAGCTTACTTCCAAATAGGGATATCTGAAAGTAAAGAATTTAGAAAGCTAAAACTAAATTTGCTTTAGATTTTTTTAACCAGAGCTCAATTTCATAGGGTAGCATGGACGAGACATAAGTACCTCATGTTCCTTTCCCCAGGGATTTTGTGTGTGTGCGCATGTGTGCACACATACAGGCTTTTTAGGGAGATGTGGTGTGATAGTCAGAGATTAAGAACTGAGCTCACAGGTAGTGCAAACCCGAGAATGCATCCTGTTTGTACTTTCTTGCTGGGTGATATTAGACAGGTTCACATGTCCATCAGTAAAATTAGGATTATATTCGAGGATAAAACATAAAAAGTGCTTAGCACAGGGCCTGGCTAAGTAGTCTCTCAGTAAATGCTACCGTTGTACTGTTTTACAATTATGGTTATCGTTATTACTGTCATCAGTTGCAAATGACCTGAAGTTATGAGGAAGTTGAGCTTTTTACGGAAGCGTAGATTCCTTGTCCTTTACAGAATGACTCCTACCCTCTTAGTTTTATTTGTGTTTCTGAGTCTAACAAAAGGACCAAAGGAATCAGAGCAAAACATAACAATTTTCTACATAATCATTATTGTGGCCAGTTGAATTCCTATGACCTGAAAGGCTTGGTTCAGTTTTTCATTTTTATAAAAATTGCCTTTTTTCTAAATGAGTAGTGGTATTTGGCAAAGGGATATATTTTAAACAGCATTGTTTGACATTGAGTACTGTGGTAAACTACACAAACTAGCATATCACAGAGGCCTAGATCTACACTGAGATTACATGGTTTAATACTGTTTTAACTACTATTTATTAATAAAACTAAGTTATTATTATTAATGAGACTGGTGATTTGATATTTATAGACATTTCAGTTGTTCCATTTTTGTAAGTCAGATTTTCCTTCTTAATTGTCCTGTATCAGAGGCATTTAGCACAGGGGTATATGGAACTTAAGGTAAACTACTTTGAATTTTTATTTTTAAAAATAAACTGTCATGTCAAGAAACTATAGCCATGGAAAATGTTGACCATTGCATGGGCATGCTTTCAAAGAAAATAACACATTGCTTGACTCTTATTTTTTATTAAATTATTAGTCTTAGTCACAGAAGCAACAGTCTGCTACACTTATGTTGTCTAATCAGTTCCTGCAGCCAAAGGTGTCAGCCCTGGCATTTCAAATTATTGGGGTTGGAATCTGGAATGAATTTCTAGAAATCATATTCCTTTACTCTTCAAGGGACCAAAAACCAAGCCATTGAAGTGAATGCTGCCACTGCATACCAGAATCATGTTGGTTGCTGGTATATTTCAGATTGATAGCTGTGCAATTCAGGGTGGTAGAAAGTGGTCAAGAAAATCTGAGCTATAGCCACATGGAGGTATTAGATCAGTAATTTTATTTTAGAGATTATCATATTACATCACCTTGGGACATTTGCTTTTTCCTTTAATATCAAGATCACCCAAGCTGGAGAAAGTGTGAAACTAAGTCTTAACTGAAAGAAAACAGATGCTGATCAGTTTTGTAGATCTTTTTGCCCCCTTTGTACTTGGTCTACTAAAATATTTGCCTAATTAAAATGTGCTAACTATCCATTCATTGCACATATTCTAAATAGTGCATATAGTATAAAATAGTTGTTTAAAATCATCAATTTTGAAATATTTAAAAGATTTAGATTCCGGATCTGAACTGTTAGCCCTGTTCCCTATATTGTTGTTAATTAAGTTACTTTCATTTTTCATGTATATGAAGATAATTGAGTTTCACATGTCTTAAGTTTAAACTTCTTACTGTAAAAAAAAAATCCAACTTATATCTTACCTTCTAGTAACTGCATTTAGATTAACATATTGTATGAAATGCCATGTTTGTACTGACGTTCCGTCTTTCTAGTGGCATCAAGTATGTAATCAAAAGGACTAGAGGTTATTGCAACCTTAAAAAAGTATAAAAATAATTTTCTTTGTATTGCATGCCGATGAAACCAGCAATTTTACTCTTTAGTGAAATCTCTGCTTCCTTTCTTAACTGTTTGTAGAGCTCAGAGACCAGATGGCTGGAATAGAATGCATTGTTAAACAGATAAAACCAATAGATGGTACAGCTTTGTGAATTGTTAAGCATTTTATACAGTCGCAAATTTTTCCCCGTAACCATTGGTAGAGTTCATCTAAAATTGCTTTATTGTACAATGTATTAATTATTTGCATTTCAACATATTTGTCAGTTTTATCTCATACTAATGATTTTGGGTGCTTTTTATTTTAATACTTTGTTGCAGTGCTTTTGTATTCCTGATTTGATTTCTCTCTTAATAGTCATGGTATGCCACATCAGTTACTTTTAAACTGGAGTAACATTTTTCCTGGTGCACTTTATCTTAAGACAGCTTCTTTAGAAAGTATGGTCACCCAAAATGGTTTCATATTGATCAGAACCAGGTGAGTGAGTGATGCTTCCTTTCTTTGTTGCAGACATGCCAATATTTGGTCTCTGTCCAGCCCACGATGATTTCTACTTGGTGGTGTGTAATGATTGTAATCAGGTCGTCAAACCGCAGGCATTTCAATCACATTATGGTAAGTGCTTAATCATTTAAAAGTCATTATTAGAGGATAGAAGGTAATGCAGGATTAAACGGGAGGCCAGGGACAGCCCAGGTAGGATATGGTATCCCTTCCCCTGTCAGGAAGTAGGCTTTTCAGTTCATTGAATGGGTTAACGCCTGTTAGATGTTGGATATTTTCTGAATTTTATTGAAAGTGATGTGCATTTTCCAATTTTTATGGATATTAGGGAAAATGTATTTTATAAAATCTCTTTTGAAATACTGCATCAGTATAGTAAAAGGTTTGTTTCCTTATAGATCCTGAGGTTGGTTGGGAATTTAGTGTCAGGTAAAGTACAATACACACACAATATGGAGACACGGCTTTTTTTTTTTTTTTTTTTTTTTTTAAGGAAATGTAATTTTGAAACTTCCAAGTTTAGTAGTTCTAAATCTATTTTGATAGCATGTTCTCATTTGTGAGTGTGTTACAGCTATGACATCTTCCCTATCAAAATTGCACATGTACTTAAAATGATACATTGTGACTTCAGGGATTTCATGAATCTGAGCCACCCCTGGGCTTCAGTCTCCTGAAGTTTCATCTCAGTAGATCTTCAGTCTCATCTAGGTGTTTAGTCATGGAAGTATGCAAATGAGTTCTCCTGTATTACCATAATGCTCCTAACATGTTTATAATAACATTCTGATCATGTGGCTTAGTTTTATACACAGTTTGGTTCAATAAAAACTCAGAAGTATTTTAATACACACCTTGTATTATGATTCCTACCTCCATGGAGTTTAAAATCTAGCTGGAAAAATAGGCAAACCTAACTAGAAACATTTTAAAAGTAACTGCAAGTTGTTCCCTCATTTTCCTCATTACCACTACGCAAGATTGAGACAGAGAATAGTGGTGGGGTCCTTCTGTACACAGTGTTTAGGTAAAGCCCCTGAGGAGATGACCCTGGTGACCTGAGCCCTAAGTGATGAGAAGGGAGCCACCCTTGTGACCATCTCAAGTCAGAGCATTCAATATAGAAGCAAGAGCTGGTGCACAGACCTGACGAAGGCCAGTGTGGCTGGAGGGTACTTAGTAAAAGGAACTAGAAACCAGAGAAGTCTGGCCTTGTAGGCAGGGACCCTGATCATGCAAAGCCTTCTAGGCCAGAGTAAGAAGAAGCTTATGGGCTATTACAGAATTTATGTAAGGGAGTGACACAGGCCCATCTCACTTATACACTGTGGAAGAAGAGTAGAAGCAGGGAGAGTAGTCAGAGGCAGGAGATGATGATAATAGAATAAGGCTTAGGTAGGGCAGTGGAGCTGCGAGGACAGCATAGCTTTAAGATATATTGTAAAGCTAGAACCTGCAGAGCTTGCTGTCAGGACAGCAGTTGTTTTAAGAGTCATTCCCTGATCTACATCCCACCATTTTTCCCAAGGAATCTTTTACGTAATCATAAGAAGGTTCTTTGAGGTTCTGCTTCTGAATGAGGTCCTGGGGTAGGTACAGAGAGTACAAAGACAAAGAAGATATTGTCAATTGCTATGAATTTTGGAATTAGGATTTTGAAATTAGAGAAGACTGGACTTAAATATAAACTTTTAAGAACCATAGGTTAGTTCTTTGCTTTCAGCAAGTTTTCCAACGTCAGTTTTCTTTGTTATAATGTGGGAATGGTAATAGCAACCTTATAGGTTTCTGGTGAGTATTAAATGAAACAACATGGATAAAATTCCTTATACAATGCCTGACACACAATAGGTATGAGAGAGAGAGATAAAAATACAGTTGTTATGTGGATACAGGAAAGTACATGTCTAAAGTCATAGAACAGTCCACGGTCTTAAGAATAAAGAGGAGCACAGATCGCTTCTTGTTGAGTAATTCAGAGAAGGCTTCTTAAGAGTCTTCACAGTAGGCTATCCTGAAGAGTAGAATGCATTCTTTTTCCCATGTGCATTTTCCCCTTCGTTTTTAGATATATAATACTTGTGCATTGTGCAAAATGTGGGAAATACTTTTATAAAATCACCTATATTGCCCTAAAGTGGGAAGTATTTTGATGGGGACAGATAGGGCTGCCTCATACAGCCACATGGTTTGTGCACTTAATAGCCATATTTGGTGGCCGCTGGTTGGAAGCTGGGGTGACATGAGCAAGTGCAGAAGCAGAAAATTCCAGGCTGTCTAGAATGTACTGCGTGAGTCTCCATCGGCAGGAGCTGATGTACCCATGTGTGCAAGAGCTATCTGCAAAAGGAGGCTGGGACTAGCTCAGAGAGCCTCAGTGCTCATGAGACACTTCTGGCCTTGATGTGTCAGTGGGACCTTTTACAGGTTTTTTAGCGCCAGAGTGATGTGACTTAGTGGTCCGTGGGGATTGATTGGAAGAGTGCACTGGGAGTGAAGGGGGAAAGAAGGAGTGAAAACTGCAGTTCAGGTCAAGGTTTGCTTAAAGGTATAGGCCTCTTCCAGGACTTCCTTAGACAGAAAGGGGACTTCTTGGTCTTGTCTTCCACAGACATTCACACAGTTATTGCAGCACATTTTATAGAGATGATTTTCTTTATCTTCCTCTGTCTCTCTTAAAACATCAAGGTATAGTCGGGGAGTGGGGGTTAGCGTCTTAAAATCCTTTTTCTACTCTTTTTCTCTACCAGTAACTAATACACACAGTGTATTCTAATAAGATGCTTGTCAAATGACAAAGGAATTGTGGTAACTTCAAATATGTAAATGAGAAGATATAAATTCGAGATTCACACATTGAAATGCCTTCTGTGGCTACTCAGAACTTGTGATTGATAAAGCCACTGAGTGGGTCACTTCGATCCTTCTAGTGGCAAAGGAAATATTAATGTTGTAAGAGAGAGGAGAGTCCTTGGCAGAAAGATGATGGCCAAGTGCAGGATTCAGCTGGGAAATATAGAAGGAGTTCCATCCTTGAGGAAGAAGCCAAGGAGAGGGCTGATGGAATAAACAGAAGGTTTTGGAGATGGATAGGTCTGAGGGGTTGGGGACAACGTGTGGAGTAGAGGGAGGCATCATGTGGCTCTCGAGTGGTTTGAGAGTGACACTTTACTCACCTGAAGGAGAGGTGGACATGCTCCCCAGAACCAAGAACCATTCCCGAGGCTGCCAGTGGTCTCTTCTGTCTTTGGGGACAGGGGTTATAACAGTAAAAAAGTAGTTTGGGAACACATTATTTTTTTTGTTGTAGTTGCATTCTTACTCATTTGCTCTCCAAAGTTAACACCAAGAAAAGGTTTTCAAATTCAGAAATCTTCCTGAGCAGTCTGTTTTTACTGTATTAAGAAGAACCCATTTTACTTTCTAATCTTTGATGAAATTGGTCAGAATGTGTGGGCATTTTTCTCTGAATTCATGTATTGCTAATATTCATCCTTGACTTTTATGAAGAAATGAACAGTTGCTATAAAATCCAACAGGCAGCTACTTCAAAACCACTGCTGCTAGCACAAGGAAGGAAGCTACCATGGCCACAAGGCTGGTGAACCAGTTTATGTTGGTGGTAACATTCTGAATTGGTGAGCAGCTTACTTAGCCAGAGAAGGAGGCTGTGAACTTTTTGCTAGCTAAGCTCCCTTTTTGGGAATTAACAGTTAACCAGGATTTCAATGTAAACAATGGTTGGTAGTACCTAGAGTCATTTTGGCATTTCCAGTTTCATATAGTCTGATTGCTTTTATAGTATAGATTGCTTTCTTTCTTGGAAACTGCATAGTTATACCATGCTTTCCTGGTGGTGTTTTAATATTTTGAAATAGTCCAGCGCACCTCATATTTCTCTTAAAGTTACTCAGTATTTTTAAAGAGCAAAATGTTACTTACTGCTAATTGTAGATTTAAAAATACATTAATCTGTCTTCCAACCAATATGAAGGCATAGGTAGATACTCTTCGCTTCCTTGCACAACCAAAAGAAGGGTGACAACCAATTTAAAAACAAAAGAACAACCAGAACTGCCAGGAAATCAAACTCTATGGAAGTCCAGCAAACAAGGAGTTGAAGAAGAAACATTGATCCAGACTGGTAGGAGGGGCAGAGACAGGAACAGGGTGATGAGGATGCACAACAAGGCAGCGGCTGGCCAACTGGGTGGACAAGACGGTGGCTGGCCAACCAGGATACCCCACATTCACACGCGGACAACCCGGGGGAACAACTGGGGAGTGAGTCAGACTGTGCAGCCAGGGTTCCAGTGTGGGAAACTAGCCTTAAAACCTCTGGCTTAAAAACCTGTGGAGGTTGTAGCAGCAGAAGAAACTCCTGGTCTCACAGGAGAGTCCATTGGAGGGGCCCACAGGATCCTACAACATACACAAGCCCACCCATCCAGGAATCAGCACCTGAAAGGCACAATCTGCTGGTGGGAAGCAAAGGACCTGCCTGAAAGCAGGGCAAGAGCCAAGCAAGCAGTATTGTTCCCTCTCTGACACCCACATACTGAGCCACATTGCAGCAATGTGAATTGCTCTGCCCTGGTGAATACCTAAGGCTCCACCCCTTACAGGTGCACTGAGACAAAGAAATATGAATCAAATGAAAGAACAGAGCAAAAGTCTAGGGAAAAAACTAAGCAATGAGGAGGTAGTCAACATATCAGATACAGAGTTCAAAACACTGGTAATCAGGATGCTCATAGAAATGATTGAGTATGGCTGCAAAATAAAGGAAGAAGTGAAGGATATACAAAGTGAAGTAAAGAAAAATATACAGGTAACCAACAGTGAAGGGAAGGAAACTGGGACTCAGGTCAACAGTTTGGAACAAAAGGAAAAAATAAACATTCAGACAGAACAGAATGAAAAAGCAAGAATCCAAAAAAATGAGGAGAGACTTAGGAACCTCTGGGACAACTTTAAACGTTCCAATATCTGAATCATAGGGGTGCCAGAAGGAGAAGAGGAAGAGCAAGAAATTGAAAACTTACTTGAACAAATAATGAAGGAGGACTTCCCTAAATTTGCAAAGGAACTAGACATGCAAGTCTAGGAAG